ACAGAATCTGAATATCGCAAAATATTTTTAAAAAATTGCAATAATATCGTATCGTGCGTTAAGTATTGTGATAATATCGTATCGTGCGTTAAGTATTGTGATAATATCGTATCGTGGGATGTTTGGTGATTCCCACCTCTAATAAAATCCTTTTATAAGTTTATGGTAATCTCAAAATATGAAGCAATAAAGACCGCAAGTGTGCACTTTTACCCCCCTCAAAAAACAAAAACACTTCAGTGACAAGTGAAAGATGTTTTATACTAGATATATTATCTATATAGTTAGGATAAATGTTCCATCCATTCTTTGCATAAAGGGCAGAGAGAAAAAAGGAGGAAACCTTTAGGGATGTAAAAGACACAAAAACAGGTACTGACTTCAAACAGTACTGTACTTCTTCCTAGACAATAGTAAGTTCCCATTAAAAGAAAAATGTGTGTGTATGCCCTTTTATTGCTGACCTAAAATTTACTGGCTGGTCTTTGCAGGCTGTAGTCAGCACTCTTGGCCAGGATCTTAAAGCTGGGTCACCTTTGGGGTAATAATGGCCTTTCATAATTCATTAACAACAACAACACGGCACACAGTTGGGGGCAGGGGTCAGCTTCCATGATGCACAAGGGAACCACGCCATTTTTAATCTGCCAACACAAGAATGTCTGACAGTCCAACAGTCACAATTCAGTATTCTCAGTGGGCTCCTTTTATCCAGTGTAATGTGGCAGCTGTGCACAGCTACAGGTGCTGCCAGACAGAGTGGATTTACACTAGCACTATCATTGGTGTAGCTCTGAAATATCTATTAATCTCATGTTGGGATACATGGGAAGTTTTCAAAGCTGTCATATGGATATACTGAGACCTGCTCCCTGTGGCAACTATTAGCATCTAGTGTTAATTATTGATGGTACTTAGTTGGAATTATTATAAAATCAAGAACTGTGATGAATTAGGACCACCTGTCTTGTCCTATATGATACTAGCTTTTTGAAAGTCTACCAGTAGCTGGATAATTCATGAGACTTCAGTTTAAATTTACAATTGTGATCTACAATGACTATGAAAACAAGACAATCAATGTAAAATTATTCATATTTCCTCGTCATAGTCCTTGTCATAACAAAACTCATTTTACTTGTGTAATAAATCACTCAAACTTTTTCTTAAGTTGCTGTGCTTTCATCCCTCTCTAAAACAAAACTTACCCAAAGGTCTTTGATTTACAAAGATGAGGCACTACATGATACAGCTGCCTATTTTAAATGCAGAAGAGCTTCTGACTCTCAGAAGGATGTTCTGTGACTGGCAGCAGAAGAAATTAAGGAAAATAAATGCCAATAATGAAGTCTTTTTTTAAAGAGACAAAATGAGCTTTTAAAACCCAAATTTCTCATTGTAATGTGAAAGTGAAATGTGGCTGTGTGATATTAACACTCTTAGGGACATTAAATGCATAATCTAGTGACAGCTCAGATCTTAACTTGAAGTACACCGCTTAGTTTCAGCAAAGAAATCATTCTATAACGTGTCATCTTTCAATGCTTAAATAATAGCTCATTGGATATAAATATGGTCTATGGCAGGAATAAAAAGCTCTGAGTCAAATGTATACTTAAGTCAGAAACATGCAATGTCAAATGCGTGCTGACATGCTAGCAACTTTTATAGCAAATGACTTGCTGTATATAGTTTCTTTTTCCTGTCTGTTATTTCCTTCAGTTTATCTTAGTGCTGATTGCCAGCTGACAACAGTTTTCCACTCTTGGCTGACTAGTTACAAGATTCTGGTGCCTTTGTCACCAGGCAGGACAGAGTTTGCAGCTGCGCTGCCAAAAATGCAGGACTAATACAGCTGATTAACTGAAATCAGTTGGTGGAGCATACCACAACCATGCCTCTCTAACCAAACACTGTTGTTTCCCCATATACAGATTATGGTTTCCTCTTTTAAAATGCCTTCTTCAAAGTCCCATTCAACCTGTGAACCTATTAAAAAGTCTGTCTGGCTGCTGGCAATGAGATTGTAAAGACTGCAAAAAGTGACTTCCCCATTCTGTAGTGTGACCCCTCCCCACTTCCCATTACTTGATGCTACTGTGAAACAACTGTGTAGAGGAGCTTTCATTTACCCTGCCTCATTAAGCCTGGCTGGAAACAGACAGCTGCTCACTCACCCTCAGGCCCCTGATTCTCACTCTCTCTCCGAATTCTTCCCATATACACATAACAGTCTGGAGCAGCCTTTGAATGATGCTTTTTCATGACATGATGCAGTCTTCCACAATGTAAACTCCACTCAATCAGTGGTAGTGTACTTGTGTCATTTTCCAAATTTCAAGCCAAACTATAAAAATTGACAAATTTGTTTGAGGCACATTTACAAAGCTAAGCTGTCCGACTGAAACATCCATGTTCTTTGCATCATTGTTCAAATAAGCTTTTTTTTCCCCCACTTAAATTTAATAATAAACATGTACCGAGATAGAGGACCCAGTCAACTATATACCTGCCTGCTTCTTTAAAACATCATGAGTGTTATAAGGTGGAGGGTAGGGCTGGGCGATATGGCCTAAAGCATGTGCGGTAACGATATATATCGCGATATTCTTTTCTTCTATATAACGTATTTTCCACACTATAAAGCACACTTAAAATCCTTTAATTTTCTCAAAAATCGAGAGTGTGCCTTATGTATTGTGGAGATACAGAAATTCTTTTATTGCTGCCATATAATCTGCATCATTATAATTGCATTAATAACATTCTTTACAGCATTATTTCATCTAATAATATTTCTCACAGTATTGATACTGCATTACAGTTGTTTATTGAAGATGTCCATTTGAGGATCCTTCCATTATGTTAACTTTTATTACAAGTACGGTTAGAAGTATTTTATACACATTGCATATCTGTGCTTATTTTGAGTTGATGTTCAGTTCATTAAGGGTCTTAAGCTTCACTGGCGTGACTGTCCAGGTGATACATGCTGAGGGAAACTAGAACATAGAAGGATAACTGCAATGCATGCTTACAGTACATATAATACATATAATCTAGGAATGTGTCCGGCCTGAGGCCTCAACTCATTTGGTGTCTTACTATATTTTATTCTACTTGGTAACAGACGACCAGAGTCAATAGTTAGCCTCAGAGACCCTGAGGGCTTGAAGTTTATTACCTTGTATGGAAGCTGTTATAGAAAAGAGAAGTTCTATGTCTGCTTATAGCTATTAAAGATGTACGATTAACTGTGACTAATGTCTGGAACCCATTTTAATCTGTCATTGACGCCATGGGGGGGCGTGTACCCCACTGCTTTATAAGTATCCACAACATGTATTTTGGTTAGAAGACATATGTTGATGTTTTCTCCGGGCTGTTAATAAACTCATCGTTTGATTGCACTTTTCTGGGGCCTCCATGGTTTGTGACACTGCTCTACATTGATTGATTTCGTGACAGTATGAATTCTGGTTGTGCTTACTGACCTCGAACCGATTTTGGCGTGCAGAAATCTGTTAAAAAATATTTTAGTACAACTTTGGTAAGCCGCACTGCTTGATGGATTGTCAGAGCATTACGGCTGCCGTAGTGAGGAGCTTTGCGGAGTAATCTGGGTCCAAAGCTTCGTCCCCCTTCAGGTCCCAAAGTCAAACGAACACTAAGAGTTAAAAACGGTCTAAATTCCTTAATCTTTAATAAAATCATCAGCGTAACAATTAAGTTTAACATCCATTTAATTTATTAAATTTAACGGAGTTAGAAGTTAGAAAGGAAGTTAGCTCCCTAGTTTACATGACATACCATGTTCTGACTGAGAGATTTTTGAAACTAAATAAAACGTACAGCTCTGCTACCACTTCCAAAATAAATCAAGACTGAAAACTAAACAGCAGTGGCGTTTGTAGGGTTACTGAAGTTGGACTACCTGGTATATAATGTTGTGCTACGTGATTGCTAGCGACACAGCTATGTTAGCATAACATTAGCACAGTGAAGCTGAAGGATGAACACCAACTTTTTTTCCACTCATTAAAAGTTTATGTGAGGGATTCTGGTGGTCAGGGACAAATGCAATCGTATAGCAGGATGCTATACATGGGGCAAACGTCAGTCAGGAGAACAACTAAGACTATTCATCCACATTATGAGGTTAGTTATTAATATACTGCAACAACATGGGAATAGAACAGCTACGAGAGAATTCAACATTAATGAATCAATGTTACAGAAGTGAAGGAAGCGCAGTTTTTGGCTTTCCCCATATTTCAAAAGTGCCTCATCTCTTTGCTATGACTGTCGCCTGGCATAATTTGCAGGTGATAATGGTTTTAGCCGCTGCGATGCTTTAAACCAAAACAGGCACAGCTTGATGACATCATCAACATGCGCTATTGCGATAGAGCGGTATAGTCAAAATCTCTGGCCAAATTTATATCGTTTCTATCGTATATCGTTTCTATCGCCCACCCCTAGTGGAGGGGTACACAGAAAAAGATATGTGTGTGTTAAAATGAATGTGTAACATTCATCCTCCACAGGGCCATCAATTCAACTGCAGTCGGGCTCATTTGGTCAGTAGTGAAACAGTAGCTACAGCTGTCCTGATGGGTAGAAGATGTGTCATTATGCCAGGAGTGCATACACTTTTGAGTCTAACATTCAGGTAAGACATGCAAGAAGAAACACTGACTTTGTAAAAGAAAGCTCACCACTTACAAATGAGTCTGTCTAACTGTGAAGGAACTGCAGAAATGTGTATTCTATGGCCAGATGACGCTGGATAGATTGGACATTTATTATAGTATTCCTGTTATTATGTTGTAGTGTTACAGCCAATGCCAGCTGTGCCTGACTCCGTTCTGTGCCTCTCCTCACAGCTGTGACTAGATCTGCACATAGCAGCATGTATTTTTTTGGACCCAAGTAGCATTTAAGGTACTTCCAGAGCTAAACACCTTAGGGAGGGTAATGTGGAGGGATGGAGCAGAGACTTAGATGAAGCCAACGGCAGTGCTCCTATGAATGAAAGAAACAAACAACAAAAAAGCAAGTGCACAGCAGCGACAGTCTGCGATGCTCTATGAACATTCCAGCACAGCCTCCATAGAAATGTGTTAAAGGGCTTTTTGTCCAATGAGTTACCTCATCAGCACTCATGGCTCACATGGAACCACTGATACATCAGCATGCACTAGTGGGTGAAAGACACCAGTGCACTCCTTTGTGCAGATGCTTACATACGCATACATGAACGCAATCAGGGCACCAACCTTTTCTAACAGGAGCTTGACACATGAGAGATGACCCTCAAAACAGGCAGTCATCAGTGGAGTAAACCCATGTTTGTCTGGAGCCTGTGGAAGAAGAGGATGAGAGAGGAATGAGTGAGAAGAAGAAGACTTTTGGTCTTTGGAGGGAAAGCAAAGATTGTATATTGTTACACTTTTAAACTCTTGTTTTAAAAAGAAAAAAAAAAAGTCTTGATTTGCAGATACCAATTTTCAGAGGGTGAGATGCACCGTGCTGATGTGCGTCTTCCTGTGCAATGAACATTTAGAGACTTCCTACTCCTGATCATTAGAGTTAAAGCATCCATGTCTCATTGTAAATTACTAACACATGATGCTTTCAAGGTAAAAAGCAATTTAAAAGACTTTTGTTGAATCAGGCCACTACCACACCTTCTGAAACTACAAGCCTCAAGGGGCCATCAAGGTTAAATGTGAGAAGGGGTTTTCTAGCATAGAAAATTTGGGGCTTTCAAAGAGGTTTTAGCCTCACACGAAAGGAAGATTACCTGAACTACTACTGAACTTTTTTTAAGAGGGGCTTAATTTACTAAGCATAACAGGAAATGCATAGACCTCTGTTAAGTAAGGCAACACAGACTCACTGCCCTAACTGCAAGCGGATCAATTGTGGTTATGTGCGTCACTCATGAGAAGCCCACTATGACCCATAAAAAACCCCTGCTGAGGCCTGGCCAACTCACTGGTAAAAAACAGCCAATGAACAGTGGGTAGAAATGTATATGATAAACCCCGTTTTATTAAAGCCAGGTTGCTTTTGTTTGAACAAACAATAATGGTTTGTTTCTAACCAGACATTAGACAGTCAAAGGAAGGAGACACAGGCTCTGTTATTTTTGTGGTCACTGTAGTGCTGAGCAGTAGGCAAATTAATGCAAAAAGAATGAAGCTGAGATAGTTGTAACTCTTACATTGATATCTGCCCCCTTAGAAATGAGGAACTCCACCACATCTGTCTGACCGAAGTCTGCAGCATAATGCAGCGGCTTCCTCCCACCATCGAGGGTCCGGTTCACATGCTCAGCCTAGAGAAGGAAAAAAGTACACATTAACAGGGATGAGATCGCCTAACTTGGCATTGCCACAAGCCAGTATGGTGTCTCTTAGTTTAAAAAAACAAAACAAAAACAAAAAAGAAAACACAAATCAAAGCCCTTCAAAAGAAGGTAACATCTATTAAATCATTTTTTGCTGCTTGGACCCATAATAAAACACAAATCGGTCCCAGCGAGGGCTGTCAGTCCTGACTTTTTCCCCAGAAGTATATGAATAATTACTTGCCTGTATAAGGACGAAGGGAAGTGAAGCAAGAAAAGCATTCATCAGCTCAGAAAAATGGGTATACTATCAAGAATATAGAAGTATAGGAAGCCCTAGAAGATGCATTAATATCTTGTAACACAAGACCGTCATATTATAAACACCTAAGCTGGGGATGAAGGCTCAGGTGTTGGTTCTCCTGGGGCAACTAAGATCAACGTTAATGAGATAGCAATAAAATGGACAGACTAGGCAAACAGCATTGAGAAATACTGTGCATTATTGATATCAAAACTGTATGAGATTACATATGACCTCAAGTTTTTACATTATTATTAATATTATAGTCATCTCCTGACTCTAATTCCTACATTAAATTTGCTACAATATTTACCATGAAAGCATAAAATGAAGACTCAACCTGCTACGGATCTCCAAATATGAATTTTTCGAAGCAGACACATTGAATTAATATGGCAGTAATGTCACATATATATTTAGTTTCATGAAATAACTGTTGTGAAAGGACTCAATATAATCTTGTACATAAAATAAATCCAGTTTTATGTAGACCTAAAACCTTAAGGTTACACTTTGGAAAAAAAACAAAACACCACATTTCTTTTTACTCTGCCATTTCTTGGGGTCAGATGAACATGGTCAGTTGCACACAAATTCTGTTTTATTATCACTAGATATTTCTGAAACAGAATCCACACCGCAGCACTGCCTTATCAAAAACATCCTTGTAGGTCAAATTCAACATACTGAACACAATGTTTGACCTTACCTCTCATCTTGCTAAGTCCTGTAGCTGATTGATATCAAACCTCAAACTTCTCTAAAAATGTTTAAATGTTACTTTCAGTGGTTGATAAAATTAAACGAGCTCCATTTATACTATAGAAAAAGGTTAGTTATTTTTATCTACATGTTTCGTCAATGACACAATTACAGCTGAACACAAGAAACCTCACTTCTCAGAAGTCACCAACTGTAATCATGAGCTCGTGTCAATCATTTGTAGTGGTGGTTTATATCAACAGTTCTTATAGTGCGGTCTTCGCCTCCTGCAGTTAACACACGCACACAAAACTTCACACAGTCCCTCCCTACACTGGCAGCTCAAGTAGTTGATCTGCACAACACTGAACAACAATTTGTCAGGAATTTGAAGAGGTCACTAAAGCTGCCCTTTCAGGAACACTGAAGGTTATTCGGTATGGCTACTAATAAAATAATATCAATGGTAATGTGGGAACTAGGCAGCAAAAATTATCAGTCCTGCCTGTCTGTAACATTAATACATATTGTCTGTGAAGGTTCTAAGTCATCCAAGTCATCGTAGTCAAAGGAGCTTGCAAAGAAAAGCGTCTGGACTTCTTTAAGTTGCTTGAAGACGTTTCACCTCTCATCTGAGAAGCTTCTTCAGTTCTAAGGTCAAATGGCAGACAAATCTGGGACTCTCCACCATTTGACCTTAGAACTGAAGAAGCTTCTCGGATGAGAGGTGAAACGTCTTCAAGCAACTTAAAGAAGTCCAGACGCTTTTCTTTGCAAGCTCCTTTGATTAATACATATTATTAACAGGACAGTTATTTGTGTCTAAAAACTTGTGCTTTTCTTGACGTCACAGACTCAAGGTGAAAAAAAAGAAAAAAGAAATCTATCAGTGACTACATAGAAACAGTGGCAAGCACTTTATGGTGCCAAGTTGAACAAGTATAGCGTTACCTCAGACAACCTAAAAAATAAATTAATTTTTTGTTCTTTTGCTGTATGTAAGAGAATCTTAAAATATGTCACATACTTGGAGACGGTATGTATAGTTTTGACCCTGTGTGGAAAATTGTATGCTGTAAAATTACTCCACCCTGGAAAAAGAACAGTTGAAATAAATAGTTAAAAGTACCAAATTACCATGACGATCACAATGAGTGTATGTAAACAGTCATTTGTACAAACACGTGATTAATAGTTGATGACACAAATAGAACAAGACACTAAGAAAAAAGAAAACACTTCTGTCTTCTCAAAAGTCACCAACATCCTGAGCATTATCAGTCTTTAAGAGTTTGATCAAAAACTATATGTAGTTTCACGTATTGTAAAACTTACATTGGAAACTAGCATTTTACAATTTAAACACATTAGTGAGCTCTACTTTATGAGGAAGCAAATATAGATTCAGTTAGTCATTTGTGGGAAACAACTGAGTGTAAATCATGTGGCAGTAAAACTATCCAGCTACTACCCAACTACAAAATCCGAATGCAGGCGTGTTTCCTAAGGTAGCTGTTTTACAGAAACATCTCTGCGTGATAAGCATAGGCAGAAACCTTCTCATCAGGCTGCTCCAAAAAGAGCATGCTGGCATTAACGAACGCTGCAGTTGCTATTAGCCAAGCCTCCATCTCCTAGACTACAGCTGAGACCACCGCCCACTAAAGCTGACTAGACACTGGCCCTGTCTGCTCGATTAGCCGCTAGCATATAGCTAGACATTTGCCTCAGCTCTCTTAACAACACGCTTATAGAAGACTGTAATATGCGTTTTCTAGTAACGTACATACTGTGCTTAAAACACCCAGTTACAGTAACATTGTTACTGGTGTCAAGAGCCGTTACCCGTGTTACGTACCAACAGATACCATAGTTGGTTAGCTAACCAACAAGTTGCTCTCAGCGGAAAGTGATAATGGATTAACTTTAAACACGTCTCGTTACCCGTAAGACGAATTAAAGCCAGTTTAAAGGTGCACACATTACCGTTAATGTTACAGACCCAGAATGTCCCAACAGCTTTTCAATTCTGGATTACCTAACTTAACATTGCCCAACTCCAGCTAACGCTAGCTCGCTAGCAGCTCTACGAACTAGCGTTGATTACCTTGGCTATGCTGATTGTAGTCAAAAAAAAAAGCACAACAGTGGGCAAGTCAAATAACAGCTAAATTACCGTTTGCAGTGTGGCTTTGACCTCATCCAGGTCCCCGGTCTTCAGTGTCCAAATCAGATCTTTATCGCACATCTTTTTGTTGTCGGTTCGGTGTTGCACCTTCCTTGTTGTACTGCCGGGGGTTTGACAACTTATCTGCTAGTGTGTTAAAAGTTAGCTAGCTGAGGCTAGAAAACTACTACTCTCGTCGAGGCTAATACAGTTTCAGCAAAAATAAAAATACTCAGAATAATAATTTTTGTTCGATATGGCGACTCAATGACGAGTGACGGGGAAAAATGGTTCACGAAAAGTTCTAAACGGCAAAGTAGCAAACAGGTATCCGCCTTTCTGCAATCCAGAAATATTTCCGATGCCGTTACCCGGAAGAGAATATTTATGGAGAAGTTTATGCTGTTCTGTGACGATAAGGAGTTACTTAATGCAACGCATATGACTCGTCAGGATTTTTGAATATCCTAATTTGTAACAATTATTTACAGTTCCTGAATAAACATCTACAGAAAAGTATAATTAAATAAGCTTCTATGTTACCATGTAAAGTAAAACGGAAATTCGTTCCTTATCTGGTTCTGCATTTATGTTTTTTCGCACTTTGTCTTCACATCTGAGTATACACCGTTTCACTGTTTTTCAGAAATTTTTAACTGAAACATTTTAATAATAGAAATAATAAACAGACAAAAAACATTCAACTCCACTACAGTTAACGATGTAAGAAAACAAACCCATATGCCTAGTTACAAAATCTAAATGCAAACTATATTACATTCTTTTTACATTGTCATGTTAAGCCATAGCGCCACAGTAACCAAGGGAAGTCAAAATTATAGTTTCCCATGTCTTTAAATAGCTATGACCAAACATCATATTCGTTTTTCTCCAAATTGCTGTGAACTGACATGGCCTTCAACATAAGTTTAATTTTTATTCAGAGCACAGCCTGGGTTTGAGCTACATTATTTCCACTTTAAAGCAGTCCTTTTTTTATCTTCACATGTAAGTGGTTTATTATTAGAACACAAAAAACACCTGAAGATATGTAAAAAAGAAAGACGTCACATATACTTAATAGCCACTTTATTAGGTATACTTGTTCACCTGCTTGCTAGCACAAATATTTAATCTGCCAATTATATGGCAGAAGCTCAGCGCATTTAGACATACAGACTTGTTCAAGATGACCTGCTGAAGTTCAAATCAAGCATTAGAATAGGGAAGAAAGGTGGTTGGAGTGACTTTGATCATGGCATGATTTTTAATGCCAGACAGACTGTTGTGAGTATTTCAGAAATTGCTAAGCATGTGTAGGACTTACAGAGAATATATCCAGTGGATGGCAGTTATCTGGGCAAAAATGGCTTGTTGATGCCAGTGATCACAAGAAAATGGCCCTACTGATATAAAAGCAACCGTAACTCACATCTGTTACTTGTTAAAACCAAAGTATACAGAAGAGCAGACAACTACACTGGCCGTCAGCTAACAGGAACAGGAAACTGAGGCTGCAGTTGACAGGGGTTCAGCAGAACTGAACAATAAAAGATTGTAAAATCGTTGTCAGGTCAGCTTGGCATAAATAATAGGAACGCACTGGCCCATCCTGGCTTAAATAAATAATTAAAGTATATAATTCACTGTAATTAAATGGCCTCACAGTCACCACATATATCTCCAATAGAGCACCGTTGGGATATGATGGAATGGGATGTGCAGCAGCCAAATCTGCAGCAACCGTGTGATGCTATCATGCCAATATGGATCAAAATCCCTGAGGAATGTTTCCTATTACGTGAGCATGGCTGTGCATGATTACTTTTTAAGGCAGTGGTGAAAACAAACGCAGCATGTGTTGCATATTTATCCGTATTCTGACCTATGCCATTTAAGGATAGCTCCATCAGCTCCTGATGAATAGGGTCAGCTGCAGAAAGCAACACTCCAAAGGGGTAGAAAGATCAATCATTACATAACCTTAATCTATAAAGGCTCAAGGTCAGAGCAATAAGTTCAAAGCCTACAACTGCCTCTTTGCCTATTAAGCCACTAGAGACACCTACATCTGCTTTCATTCTTCCAGTGAAACCAACTAAGTGTATAATCTCCAATGCACCATCTTTGTGAAATATAGGTGAGGACAAAAGTCTCGTTACACATTCATTTGATGAAATCACTTTCCTGGAACTAGTCTAGATGAAGAAGATAACAGTAAAAGATACAATTCTAAGAAAATCCTATAGTGAATTAAAACACCGCTGGTTAAATTTAAGTGCTCTGCCTTCCTCTTTCCTTTATCACTGTACCTCGCATAGTATCCATCATCTCTCCAATATGTACATCTATATATTACAGACCTTGTAGCTGAAACACAATTATTAAAACCGTTTTGAGTGACAATAAGAATGAGATTTTTCCAGTCTATGCAACCGATTTTAGACCCTAATAATTGATAAGGACAGAGATGAGTATTGCCCAGATTTCCCCATGCTAATGTGACACACAGAACTTGACTAAAATTAATCCCAGAATGGGCTACAAATTCATGTGAAGTCTAAATTAATTATAGTCAGTTGCAAGTATTCACGGTTATAATGATGACATCTGCATACTAATGGTGCTGAAGAATGTACTGCTTAAGCATTTCATCACATATCCTCAATTCATATGACCCACAGCTGGATAGAAAATTAATAAAATCCTCCAGGTTTTCGATTAATCATTATTTGTAATAAAGATCTAAATTACACTTTTACCATACTTAAAGAGAACACAAAAACATACTTTAGCTGTGTCAAAAGGGAGGCCCAAATTTGTGAGAGTGCTGCACATTTCTTTAATGTACAAGCACCAGAGTGGAATTTTCCACCCGACAGAAATGTTAAAGTAATTCTATCCATAGGCATGACAGTATGGCACCTCCATTTTTCAGTCTATTAGCAGCCCAGGCTGCAGAAATACGTTATGCAACTGTGTCCATTAAACTGTCCAGACATTCTCCCTCCTCTCTAGCTTTTCAAAACATTCATGGGGATAATACTCAGTCAACGGTGCACATATACCTCCCCATAACTACAAGAACACTCAGCCATTACAGTCAGTTTGAATAATAATTAATTCACATAACCTCTGCAGTAAGTCAATTAGACATTCCTTCATGGATCAAATGCTGCCATTTTATGAAGACTATTTTCCTCACCGAGAGATTATAATTGATGCTTTAAAGTTGAAATTGTACATTTTGGGTCTCTAATTGTGCACGAACACTTTGTTGAACGCTATCTAGCAAAGAATAGAAAAGAACTTCCACAAGTACATTTTTAATTTAAATAATAACACTTTAGCCTATCAAGCTTGGAAAAAAATGTGTTCTACTTAACTTCAGACTGACACTCTAGATTAGCATCTCAAATTTAAATCCCCTCACCATGTGAATGTAAATCAGCTACCTCAATCCCATTTTCCATTTATGTTTCTCCTAAGATAAAACCATAAAAAAGGTTTAACCACACTGCCAGACAGTATGTTGCATAAAACCAGTTTCCAGCTGTTCACTGGTACACATTAAATGCCTTAAATTTAAATGTAAGATGCAGGAAAAACATTACTGCTCATGCTTATTTTAAAATATGGGAAAAAATGTAAACGAATACACGTTCTATGATTGTTACCTTTATTTCAAATAGTTTAGGAATATTGTTTCCAAATTCAAAAACAGGCAATGCTTAACCTATCTCTGGATAGTCTCTGTCTACTCCAGTCTGTCTTTGTCTGCTTTAAGTGCACTGGCCCTAAAGATGAGTCTTTCACATCAGGTTATAAATATAGAGTTTCAATTTAAAAAAGGGTGTGTGTGTGTGTGTGTGTGTGGGCGGGGGGTAAATTTGTAAAATGGTGGACTATTTTTATCTGTGGATTAATACAAATCTGGTGGAGTCTTAATTACACCAGATGGGCCAGAGTATGTGGCATTGACTCAACTGAAGCTCATATACTGATGAAGGAATATTTCACTCACTTGTCTGTTCTAGATATTCAGCCTCATCTAAGTCCCCTGAAGTTTAATTTCAATACAAAATGATAAATATCTTAATAGAAGTTTAGTGTAGACCTTATTAATGTAGGTCTCAAATGAATGCGTGTCATTCCCTGCATAAATGCTTAACGAAGCCTGGACTGTGATATTATAAAGTGCAGTCCCCATAAAAGTCAAAACCTGATTTAAATTTAGTACCTACTTATAACTAGTCTTTTTGTTACCCCCCCCTCCCAATTTTCTCGGGTACTGTTTCACCTTCTCTGTGTCTTTACCTATGTAACTATCTCTCTCTGTCTAACTCTGCTTAAATCTTTCCAGCAATGGGTGTGACTTCCCCAGATCCACTGGCACACCTTCTATAATCATATGCAGTATGTAACCGTGGGCATGTCATTCCACTCCTTGTTGCATTGTTAAGTTAAACAGTGATGTAGTTTAACTTGCAAACTTGCCTTGCCCGTCCTCTTTCAGCACAGAGTCCTTTCTAGTGCGTCTGCCTTCCAAACATACTGGCTTGACCCACTCTTGCCCTGTAGAGAAATTCTCACCCAAGCCTATGCCAATAGAAATAAAATACCCCTTACCTGAACCCATGCCTATGGGAGAACAGAGGAAATCAATGAGAACTTAACCTGTGAAATCAGAATCTATTTACCTGAATCTGAAAGAATTTTCTCACCAGTCCTTGGACTCAGTGGTACGAGACTTGATCTTGTGAAGAAAAGAGACTGGTACTTCGTCCCTGATTTCCAGCAAAAACTAACAAGTTATCTTTCTGAAACAGTCCGTTAAATCGACTTTTTCCAGTGTATCCAACAACTGAGCAGCTGTGTTGCACAAACCTCGATACTTCACTAGTACTGTACTAGTACTGTACCATTGAGTCTGAACTTTTAACCTTGAATTTCATTTTGGTATAAAGAGGATAAGTCATTTTCAAAGGGCTGTGAGCAGACACGTGATGGCAAAAGCCACAATTTAGGCTGTTTGCGCCAAATGTTCTCCCAGGATGTTACAGTAGAATATGCATTGAAAGTTTCACTTTAGAAGACAAATTCACGGTGCACAAACCCATGAATGTCAAAAACAACCATGATCCTGCTCGCATTCCTGGTCGGATGACCTTCGGGTTCGGACACCGTTAGCTCTTCCACTAATAATTGCTCTCTCTGGGTCATAGCCTGAGACCCAACTCTCATCACGACTGATTTCTCTTGACATGACAGTCAGGTCAATTTGACACAGAAGTTGATGGCTGCTCTTTTCACAAGTTTGAAGTCCATATTGAAATCACAAAAACAAACATGATAATGTTCAGAAGGGTGAGAGGTGCTTCAAGGCAGCAATCTAG